CATGGCAGAGCTAGGTAATGGTACTACCACCTTCACTAATGGAGAGATGTGGTATTGTTGGATAATCATTGGACTGCTAATCTCAAGGCTGGTGGTTCAAACCCACCAGCCACCCCTCAGAAACCCTACGCAAGATCACAATGAGTTGGAACCAACTCAGTGGCACTTAACAACTCAGACCCCGTAGACATCGAAGTTTTTCAACCCTGATATTTTGTTGTTCGTGTTAACTGTCACTGAGTCATTTCTAACTCATAACAGCCCTGTACAGGGTTTCAGAGACTGTAAATCTTTGAAGGAGCAGATAGCCTCAGACCTCATTTTATTGCACTTTTGTAGGTACTGCGTTCTTTTACAAACTGAAGGTTTGTGGCAACCTTGCCTAGAGGAAGTCTATGAGCACCATTTTTCTCAATAAGCATGTGCTCACTTTGTATCTCTGTCACATTTTAGTAATGCTGACAAGTTTCCAAACATTTTCCAAATGCTTTTGCACACAGAACAGACCACAGTGCAGTAGAAACAATTTTTATGTACACTGGGAAACCAGAAATGCATTAGACTTGCTTTCCTACAATATTCTCTTCATTGCGGTGGTCTGGAATGGAACCTAAAATACCTCTAAGGTTCCACCTGTAAACTCGGATTGTTAGAGAAAAGTTAGTCCTTTTACTTGCCAACTTGTTTTGGTGATGGATTTTGGTGGCAAAGTTGATGCGTCTCATAGAAGGAGGCTCATTATACAAAAAAAAATAAATAAACAAAAAACTCCATCCTTCCTTTATTTTTTGTGCCATCGCTGCTGCTTGGGAGATGTGACCCAGACATGCTGATAACACAGGGAGGGGAAACTTGACATTTCAAGGAAGCCGTGTTGACATGTCTGTTGTATTTACTTGTATTTACTGTATTCCTAAGTCTGCCGCTGTCATAAGAACCTTTGCGGTTTTAGAACTTGATCAAAGCATCTCAATTTGTTGCTGTGGAGATGAGTACGTTAATAGAAGGGGAGAATGAAGACTGCAGAACCAGTAGGTTCTGACTTTAAGCACCAAAATCCTCAGTTCATAGAAATAAAGGGTTGTGTTCTCTAGATGGTTTCTCTACCTCCGTACCCCATAGGGGAGCCTTAGTGGAGCCGTGGTTAAAGCAGTCGACTGCTAACTGAAAGGTTGGTGGCTTGAGTCTATCAGCCTCTCTGTGGGAGAAAGATAAAGTAGTATAATCTTCCAAAAAGATTCACAGCTTTGCAAACCCTGTGTTGTTGCAGTTGTTAAGTGCCATACAGTAGGTTCTGAATCATAGCAGCCCTGTATAGGGTTTCTGAGGAGTGGCTAGTGGGTTTGAACCGCCAACCTGAGGTTAGCAATCCAGTGCTTATTCTACAGCCCCACAGCAGAACTCCTGGAAACCCTCCCGGGAAGTTCTTTTCTATCCTAGAGGGTCACTCTGAGGCAGAATTGACCTGACAGCAGTAGGTGGGTACCCCATAAAATATTTGTTAAATGAAAATTTGTATTTCCAGTAAAGTCTTTCTCCAAATAGAACAAATTGGAATGTTCTTGACAGTTTTTATACAAGCACCTCTTTATGGGTCTAAAATTAAATCCTCAAGAGCAGGGACATTTTAAATCTGGTCTTTAACCACTAAATGGCATTAAAAGGATATCACAGCTCTTTTAATTCACAGAGAAACCTGTGAACTAGAAGCCAAGCTGAGCAGAGGCAGGTTCTCTTTTCTTTTCTTACCTTTTCTTTTTTCCACTCTTGGACTAGAACAAAACCTTCCATTTGTGTCCTGAAATCTTGGTTGGTTGAACCTTAAGGAGAACTGTAATAAAAGTAAAATTTTCAGAACTGAATATGAATTTGACTGAAAGCTCACATGATACCATGAAAACTGCCCTGACTCCTCTCAGGTTTGCCTCCACCTTACTATAAATACAAGTGGATCTATCCCGTCCACTTGTCAGATGTCCAGCCCTGCAATAATAAGTCCACCGAGTTGAGCCAGAGTCTTGTCCTTGAACACGGCACTCGAGGCCAACAGTGCACCAACACTGGAGTGGAGCCCGCAGTGGCTGAGGCCAACTGTCCTGGCCCCGGCCATGAACACATCAGTCTCTTCCACGGGTCACCTCCCAGTGCAGTCCGGCAGCCCCGCCATTTTCCAGGATGCATACAATGCGCTCATCCCTAGGGTTAGTCCCAAACGGATACGGTTTGCCTGTAACTCTCCATCCCATTTACACTCACCAAATTGTTTAGGAAGCGCAGAGCAGCATGAAGGTGACCACGGACTTTGTTACCCCTTCTTCAGAGATTCTTGGAGTTCTCTGGTATTTCCTGAGGGGCTCACACCCAGCTCTCTGAGTGAGGCACTTACATTTTAGGCTAATTTTAGCAAATTAACATATATCTTAAGCTTCATTCTGTCTTTCTGTGACAAAATCTTCAAGTTGCTTTTAATGGAAATTCATCCACATCTCTGATCAGGAATTTGGGATCTTGCTAGGCAATCAGTGTGCAAATCATGCATCCCAGATAAACAGCCTAGGTAAATTCAGAACCAAGCTAGCTATACTTGATGCTGTCATTGTTAACTAACACCCAGTGCAAGAGGGATCACTGATAGATTGATTGGACCAGTGTGAGACAAGAAGTCAGCTCCTATGGATTGTGGCCCTCACCTTGCTACTTACTGTAAGGTATACAACTGCAGTAAGTCATATGTCATGTACTCTCGACAAGCTGTAGTTTCTGTCTATACAACAGGATGCTTAAGAACACAGTGTCTAGGGCCACACTGCCCGGGTTTGAATCCTGACTCTGGTACCTGCTACCTGTGACACCTTGGAAAGGTCTCTTAACCTCACTGCTCCTCAGTTTGCTCATCTGTAAAATGAAGCTACTATTAGTACTTCCCTTCTAGGGCTGTTGGGAGGATTAGGTGATTCATCGATTGTATATATTAGATGTAGTAATTTAAATATATATTTACATAGGCTCCTGGTATGGAGCTGTAGGATCAGCACTGGACTGAGAACCACAAGGTCAGCAGTTCAAACCCACCAACTGTTCCTCAGACACCCTATACAGGGTCACCATATGTCTGAATCCACTCTGTGGCACTTAACAACAACAACATCACATATATTTACATACTAGACCTAGAGCGAGAGAAAGAGATCAAATATGGGCACATAGTAAATGCTACACGAGCGTGTGTTATTATCATTGTTGTTAAGTGCCGTCGAGTCGGTTCCGACTCATAGCGACCCTGCTTCCAAGAAGCAGCTGGTGGGTTTGAATTGCTTGGTTCATAGTCCAGTGCTGATCCATTATTATATGTAAAATGAGGAGAATTTAATGTCTAACGTCTTCTGTCTCAGGAAATCTTTGTCTAAATCAGAAGTCAGGATTTTACAGTTAAAGTATCTAGTGGTGGTTGTGTGCCCTCGAGTTGGTTTCAATTCATAACAGCCCTGTGTATGGTTTCTGAGGCTATAAATCTTTACTGGAGCAGAAAACCTCATCTTTCTCCCAAGAAGCAGCTGGTGGATTCAAACAGCTGACCTATGGTTAGCAGCCCAACTTGTAACCCACTATGCTGCCAGGGCTCCTAAAGTAACTTGTCCCTGGTTTTATTGATTTTATTGATGGCGAAGGAATTTATTTGGGTCACAAAGTGAGGTATCAACTGAGCTTAAACCAGAAACCAGGTCTCCAAATTCCAAGTTCCACAGCATTTTACGATTCCAGTCTGTTTTCTTGAGAAACTCACTAACTTCTTAACTTTTACTCAGACTGGTCATATTCTTCTTTGCTGAAATAGAGATTTAAAAATAGCATTTGTCTAAAATCTTACACTAGCCAAATCAACTGTGAACTGGAATGGAAGGCTTTATAGCTACTGGTGAGAATGCATCCACTGCCCTCTGCTGGTGTGTCATGCACATTGCATCATTCCTTGTCTTTCTTCTAATTGGTTCTCCTAAAAGATGGATTGATCCTTGGTGGTGCAATGATTAAAGTGTTCCTCTGGTAACCGAAAGGTCAGCAGTTTGAATCTACCAACTGCAGAAAGATGTGGGTCTGTTCTGTTATATCCTATAGGTTCGCTATAAGTTGGAATTAACTCAACAGCCGTGGGTTTAACCAGACTAAAACCAAACTCACTGCCATCGAGTTGAATCCAAGTCCTGGGGACCCTGCCTAGGGTTTCTGAGGGTGTAAGTCTTTATGGGAGCAGAAAGCCTCATCTTTCTCCTATGGAGCAGCTGGTGGGTTTGAAACCCCGACCTTGTGGTTGGCAGCCCACCAGGGCTCCTTAATGGGTTTAAAAGCTAGACTTAAATTGGGGGTAAGTGGGAATATTCTTCAGGATGAAGTGAAACTGATAACTGGGAAAGAAGCCTAATTGGGAAAAGAATCTCCCATCCTTCCCCACAGCACCTCCCTGGACATTTGTTTCCTAGTGAAGGGATTTTTCATCCTCATCATTTTTTCATCTCTGTAAATATTGGTTTACATCCTAGAGACCGTCTTATTAAGACAGAGGTCTTTTTATGGGAGTTAGTTCACAACCTGATTGATACATTTATCATTTCTTTTTGTACTTCTGATGTGCTATTATTTTCACCACTATTCCCCTTGCCTCTTCCCAAATGTCACATTTTGCAATGCACAATTGACCAGTGTCTCCCTCTTCTCTCTGTCCATTTTTTCCCTCTATTTTTTCCTTTTGTTTATATTTTCTTTTCTTATATTCTCTTCTTGCCTGTGTATTGTTAAGTTTATTATGTTACAGTGTCTCTAAGGAGACTCTAGTTTCAGCCTCCATCTAGATGAGCCTGTTCTGTTTTCACAAAGACAAGTCTGGTTTTGTTTGAGTAAAGCGGTAACAGATTCCCAAATGAACAGGCATTCTTAACTAGTGTCACTGAGTTTGCCTTCATTGCCATTCTCCTAAATGACCCTTCTCTAAAGCAGCTCTGGTAGCGTTGTGGTTACGAGTCGGGCTGCCAACCTCAAGGTCAGCAGTTCGAAACTACCAGCTTTTCCACAAGATAAAGATGAGGCGTTCTGCTCCCATAAAGATTTACAGCCTTGGAAACCCTGTGCAGAGTCACTATGAGTCGGAACCGACTCCACGGTACTGAACAACAACGACAATGTATTCTAGACCAGAGGAGTGGTGTCATTTGGGACATTGGGAGGCTGGGGGAGACGAGTATGGTTTTATATTCACAGAATCTTGCTAGTTCCTGTTTTAAAATACTTATTTTATCTACCTTTCTCATCCATAACAATTATTGTCAACCTGATCCCAGGCCTTCACTAGGTTCTATAAGTCTTCTAACTGGTCCCTCTGCCTCCTGTCTCTCCCTACACTGATCCCCAGGCACAAAACTGCTGCCGTTTCCTCAGACACAGTTTTAAACACATAGCTCCCCACTGAAAACCCTGAATTTGATTAATATTATTGTAATTACAAGTCCAAACGCTGAGACCTAACATTCAGGGGTCCTTTGTGATGTGTGGACTCTTACCTACCCAGATTTGTTTCAGCCGCAGCACTTGAGCATATTTGCCCCAGCCTCTGTAAATGCCATACTTGTTCCTTCATCTATCACCCCTCCTAAGTGGAACTGGCCTCCCTTTCCCCACCACTGACCTCTGCCTACCGAACTCTACCCACCCTTCAGGGTCCAACTCAAGTGTTTCTCTTCTACCAAAAGGTACGCCCTGATTCCACAAGCTAACATTGATCTCTCTTTCCCCTGACAGCATCGTCCATCATTCCTTTCTCTGGTGGTATAATTGAGTTTTATACTGTATCATCTGGTGTCTTAACTCGTCCTTCCAGAATGTCCATGCACACTCATCAGATTATAAATCCCTGTAGAAACTTTCCTGACAGCCATTTTTTTAACATACTCAAATCTCTTACACTCAAATATAACAATTATCTAATGTTTATACAGCACATGCTATGTAATCCTCCTAGTTCTAGGCACTCAGTTCATTAAATTCTCATAATAGCACTACAAAATTGATACTCATTTCTTCATTTTATGAATGAGAAATCTAAAACCAGAGATGTTAAGTAACTTATCCAAGATCACACAGCTAGTAAGTGGTAGAAACTGATTTGCATACTCAAGCAGTTTGGCTCCAGAATCCGTCTCTTCACCACTAAGCTATCATAGTCATGGTGGTGGTTGTCACTTGTCATCAAGTCAGCTCCAACTCATTGTGACCCTTTGTGGCAGCCATTGTTAATGCTTGCTCTCCCTCCTGTTTGTAGGAGAAACAAAAGAAATACACAATCATCACAAAATAATACGATTTCATAATTTTTAAGAATTATTCTTCCCAGGTCAATGTGAGTAGCAGGTGTGTCTTCATACAAAGGCTCAGAAAACTGCCAATCACTTCCCATACGTAGCTAAAGTCAGGACTTGATTCTTTCCCGGACACTGTATAGAGAGGCCCAGAACGAGGTCAAGAGAGTCTTTGAAGTCAACAGACTTATTACAGAATGTGGACTTTCCACAAACCCTGTCCTCTCTCCTCATGTTCCAAAATGACAGAATCGCTCCACATTAGTCCGATGCTTCTTTAAACATGTAAGGATTCTCAAAACTGGTTCGAGCACATTGCTTTATACTTGGTGTTTGTAAAGTCAAAGATAAAGTAGGGAACACACTGATCATCTAAACAAGAACCTGGCTTTTCATGTTTGTAATCTCCTGTTTTCTCCTTAGAACACCTTGCACAGAATATATCTAAGTCCCATCTGGAGACTTGTCAGTACTTGAGAGAAGAGCTCCAGCAAATAACATGGCAGACCTTTCTGCAGGAGGAGATTGAGAACTATCAAAACAAGGTATAGTCTAAGGACTACCACCTAGGGTGGAGGTGACATCCAGAAGGGGGTGTTGGTGCAGGAGAATTGGTCCAGAGAACACAACAGACCTGGAAGGAAGCTGTCTTTCATCACATACCAGTTTTCAATTGACCAATCTTTTCTCCAGAGTTGATGATGTACTTCAGACCTTGTCATCTTATTGACATGCCTGCTTGAGCAATTTAAGTGATTCTGAATGAATTCCATTGAGCTTATAAGTATATACGTATCACCTTCATTTTGTCACAAAGGGACTAGGTTAAGCAGCTTCTAAAAGGCTCGATAAATTAGGATTCGTCCTGGTATCACAATGGCATGTTTTAAGGCCAGGAAGCTGGAGTCACATAACCTCGGCTTCATGTTTCCAGAAGTTAAGGAGTTGTTGAAAGAGTACATTTTATAAAGGCTTGGTAGCTATGGTCCAATCAGATAACACTCAACTAAACCTAGCGACATGAGGCTGAAAAATAGCGCTGCTCCCTGCTTCTTTTTAGAAAACATTTTGATCAGTAAGCTACTAAACTGGCAGAGATGGGGCAGGGGGCAAGATTGGAGATGGAGAATTTTTCATTGTCCATTCTGTCTTTGGTAAAAGAAACTGCTGCTCTTTTTCCCCTATAATCATAGACCTTCAAGATTGGAAAGGGCCCCTGTTTTAAGTATGCAGGGAAAGAATGTCCCTGGTAGGCTGATTTTCCTCATTTTATAAATGAGGGTACTAAAGTCCCTTGGCATATGAATAAAGAATGTTGTTGTTAAGTGCCTTTGAGTCAGTTCCGACTCATAGCAACCCTGTATAGGGTTTCCAAGAAGTGGCTGGTGAGCTTGAACCACCAATCTTGCAGTTCAAACTGACCTTGCAGTCCCACGCATTAACCCACAGCACCACACCCGAACCAGACCCCAGGGCTGTTGCTAGGTACCACCTAGTCAATTTCCACTGATGACAACCCCAAGTGACGGAACAGAACTGCCCCCAGAGGTTTCCTAGGTTGTAATCTTCATGGGGAGTTAAGGTGTAGGATAAGTACTGAACTGCCAACCGCAAGATCAACAGTTCAAACCCACCAGCTGCTCCTTGGAAACCCTAGTCCTTAGCTCTATGAGTCGGAACTGACTTGATGGCATTGAACAACAATAGTCTGTATGGCCGTAGATCACCACGCCTTTCTCCTGTGGACCTACTGAGTGAATTCCACCGACCTTTCAGTTAGCAGCTGAGGGCTTAACCATTGAGTTACCAGGGCTCTTAATGGCTGTTGACTCTTAATTCAGTATTTCTGAGTCCTATTGGTAGAAACAGCCTTACAGGAAGACCGGATAAACAAGTGAGCACTGCATCGCTCTCAGCCGAATTGCAGAGTGAGGAGGGAAGCAGGCCGGTTAGGGAATCTCAACACACCACTTGATTTGCCTGTGAGAGAGCCGGTAAAACCAGTCACCAGAGTTACTAAGGGCAAGCATAAAAGCAGTTAGAAGTAGCAAGACATGTGAAGTGGGGTTTGTGAATAGGTGACTAGGGCGTGCTTGGATCTGAATCACAGCTCCTCTACCTCCTAGCTGTGAAACTTCTGTGAGCTTTTGTCCCCATACCTATAGGATAGAAAAGTGGTCTTGGGAAAATGACCTCAGACAAGAGGACATAAAGCACCTGCCTTATAGAAGAGGCACAACAAATTCCACTGGCTTTCTATTCCTTCTTCCTTTCTCTCATAAAATGGTATTGTTGTTGTTAAGTGCTGTGACTCATAGCCACCCTGTATAGAGTTTCCACCAGAGTAGCTGGTGAGTTTGAACCGCTGACCTTGCGATCCAGTGTATTATGCCAGAGGGCCACATTGTTGTTGTTGTTATGTGCTGTGGAGTCAGTTCCAACTCATAGCAACCCTGTACAGGGTTTCCGAAGCTGTAAATCTTTACAGGAGCAGAAAACCTCATCTTTCTCCCACAGAACAGCTGGTAGTTTCAAACTGCTGACCTTGGGGTTCGCAGCCCGATTCGGAACTACTACGCTATCAGGGCCACATTAAGTTCCCTCAAAGCAAAGAAATATCTCAAAAGAAAGATACGACTTTCCCACTCCCAGTAGACCAGGGCTAATGTAATGGCTCCTGATGCCTTTTGTGGCTCTTGTGTTTTTGTGGGGTTTTTGGTTTATGTTTTCTAATCCTCTCGCCTTTTTAAATCCATTCCTATAAAAAGTATTTTACAGACTAGGAACAGTTAAGCCAATTGTGCCAAGGCTATGGGTAAACGTGTCTGTTGATGTTTCCCACTTTAACAGCAGCGGGAGGTGATGTGGCAGTTGTGTGCCATCAAAATTACAGAAGCAATCCAGTATGTGGTGGAGTTTGCCAAACGCATTGATGGATTTATGGAACTGTGTCAAAACGATCAAATTGTGCTTCTAAAAGCAGGTATGTGCTTTGCAGGTGAATTTTGAGCTCTCTTCCTAACCTGCTTTCACCCACTTATTAAATAAATGCTTGGCAACGAAGGTTTTTCTCCAGTGATGATCGCTTCAGTTTCTCTTAGCAGAAACGACATACTTTTTTTTTTTTAAAGGTTTTTGAGCTCTTTTCAGGAAACATTCCCTCCACTTTGCTCCCCCTCTGGGTGAAAAGATTAATTTGAATGACACCTGCAATCCCAAATTTTAGCATCAGCTGTGTGTTGTTTTCTACACTCCAGATCTTCTGGAGGTTACAGTGGGTCGTTAAGGAGAAGGCTGTCTGTGGCACTCAGAGAGCCATCCCTCAGCCAGCCATGTTGTGTTGTTGTTGTTGTTTGTATGGTGGGTTGTTTTTTTTTTTAATTGATATGAACGGATGTTTTCCTAGCAACTTTGAGACTCAACATCTTAAGGCAGAATAGTGCCAAGGAAGTAATTTGTGTAAACCCATCCCTTCTTCTGTAAAAGAGTCCTCAGCTTCAGCATGATCATCTTTAATGACAGCAGGAAGCTTTGCCCTTTGGCAATAGATGGTTCATAATGTGACTGAGAGCCCTCTAGCTGAACTGTACACAGCTCCCAGTGTCCGATCTTGAAATGGGGTCTCTGCATTAGTGCCCTAGAAATAGCTCCCTAAAATACACTAATCCAAATCATGTCTGCCCTTGCTCAGGTTCTCTAGAGGTGGTGTTCATCAGAATGTGCCGTGCCTTTGACTCTCAGAACAACACCGTGTACTTTGATGGGAAGTATGCTAGCCCGGATGTCTTCAAATCCTTAGGTGAGGAAATGACAAGGTGCTTGATCTTTATAGCAGGGGATATAGGGAAAGATGTGAAGATGTGGATGGGGGTGGGGGGGGGGCAGCTATTATTGAACACAATGGCAACTAGTTCTTTGGAAACAGAAAACAAAGGATTTTACCATATGTACTGTCTCTATCTTGTGTATATAAGTATAAAGTATTATTTTACTTTATATTTAATCCCTGTGAAGATTTGGTAGTTTGTGGTGGTTATGTGCCGTGGAGTCGGTTCTGTCTCATAGCGACCCTGTACAGGGTTTCCAAGGCTGTAAATCTTTACAGGAGCAGAAAGCCTTATCTTTCTCCCGCAGAACAGCTGGTAGTTTCGAACTGCTGACCTTGAGGTTCACAGCCCAGTTTGTAACCACCACGTTACCAGAGCTTCTTGATTTACACAGCTCAAAAACTTTTAACTATTCTACCTGTAAAGGATATAGAGTTTCCTTTTATCTAACTGGTAATTGAAGAGATTTATATGCCTTTCCAGGTGTCCCCAGTTTTTAGAACCCAGATTTGCAGGCACTATGTTATGTAGGTATAAAGACATGACTTCAAACCTCAAATCAAGCAAGGAGCTAAAGCCTATCTTTCCAACACCTAAAACGACCACCATTAATGAAAATTAGATGTGGATATCAAAGAAATAAAATATAACTAAGTGAAAATCTGACATATTCCTTCATAAAGTATGAGGATGAGGCAAAAATTATCCACACTCGGGTTATATTAAAACACCCATCCACAGCTGATGACCACATTGAACATGAATGGGAAATGATTCTGCCAAGTAGACAAGTGACGGTGACTTATGTGGCAAATCATTTGTAAATCACCTGTGCCTCTGCCTATTAAATCATCCACAAGAGACTTGGGTTTCAAAAAGTTTGTGTGAGATGGATACCAAAACAACTCACACACAGCATAAACAAAAGCATTTGGGCATTTGCAAACAAAATTTGGATCAATAACTCGAAAGAAGGTAAAAGTTTATTTAAAACAGTCGTTACTGGTGACGAGACATGAATTCATCACTACGAGCCTGAGAGTAAATGGCAGAGTATGGAACAGAAAACTCCTCAATCACTAACCAAGAAAAGCTTCAAAAGTCAACCATCAGCTGGCAAATTGATGCTTACAGTTTTCTGGAATTCTCAAGGGTCAGTATTGGAACACTATCAGGAAAAAGTTCAATAATCAACAATGCTCCTTACAGTGAGATGCTCACTGAAGAGCTGAAGCCTCAACTTCAAATTAAACTCAGAGGACCACTGTCCAAGGGCATTGTGACCTTATATGGCAATACACATTCTCACACCTCTACCCACACTGTTGACACTATGCAGAAACTTTGTTTTGAGGTGGTAAAGTAGCCTCCCTGTAGTCCTGATCTTGCTGCATCTGACTTTCACCAGCATGGTCCCCTGAAAGCCCTTTGAGGAAGAAGATTTACCTCCAATGAAGAAATAAAGGCAGCAGTGCATTCGTGGCTCAAAGCTCAGTCTAGAACATTTTTTAATAAGGGAATATGAGAGCTTGTTGACAAATGGACAAGATATATTGAAAAGCAAGGACATTATGTCAAAAATGATGTATTTGCCTTGTCTAAAAGTTGATTAAACTAAATTCTACAGAATGTGGGTAATTTTTGACTCACCCTTGTATTTGTGGATTTCTGTCATTTAAAAAAGAAGAATGAAATCATTAAAAAGAATGAAAAGGAACGGGACCTCCTGCCATCAAGAAAGCAGAGATAGGAGCCAGGTGTGTCCTTTGGCTCAGAGGTCTGCACTGAGAAACTCCTAGACCCAAAAAGTTTGATAACGAGGGCCTTTCCCCAGAGCTGACAGGGAGAGAAAATCTTCCACTGTAGTTGGTCCCTGGCATTCAGACTGTGAGAAAATAAATCTGTTTGTAAAGGTTAGGAAAAAAAAAAAACAACTCTAAAAAGAATGGAAGGTTCCCAATATGTGTTAAGATATTTTTTTAAAAGCTAAACTACAGAAGCCACATAAAATCAAGTGTAGGATTGTCCATCGCCTTTTAAATGTATGCTAATGGACATTAAGAGTTTTATGTGAATGACTCACAGAAAGCTAATGCCTTTTAAAGCAATATCCCCAGATAGTGTACAATTTCATTTTCTCTGTTATATAAGGAGTTACTCACTTTAGAACTTGAGTCATTATAAAGATGTTTCAACAAACAGTGCAACACTGGAAGGGCTCACTCATCTTGGCAAGAAATTTAGAATCGATACCTGGCCAATTGACTGAAAAAGATCCATATTCCAAAGAAAGGTAGGTAATCTGACAGAATGCACAAATTATTGAACAATATCATTAGTATCACGTGCAAATAAAATTTGGTTGAAGATCATTCAAAAACGGTTGCAACAGTACTTCAATAGGGGACAGCCAGAAATTCAAGCCAGATTCAGAAAAGGATGTGAAGCAAAGGACATTGTTGCTGCTGTCAGACGGATCTTAGCCAAAAGCAATACCACAAAAGATGATTACTTGTGTTTTATTGGCTACACAGAGACTATGCAAAGACTGTGTGGATCCTAAGAAATTATAGACAACATTGCAAAAACTGAAAATTCTGGAACACCTGATTTTGCTTAGGCAGAAATGGAACATAGACCAAGATGCAGTCATTTAAATACAAAAGAGGATAATGTGTAGTTTAAAATTAGGAAAGGTGTGCATCAGAGTTGTATCCTTTCTCCATACTTATTCAAACTTTATGCTGAGCAAATAATCCAAGAAGCTAGACTATATGACAGAAGAATATAGCATCAGGATTAGAGACAGACTCATGAACAATCTGCGATATGTAAATGGAAAACTTTGCTTGATGAACACAAAGAGGACTTGAAGCACTTATTGATGCAGATCAAAGGCTATATAACCTTCAGTATGGATTACACCACAACATGAAAAATCCTCACAACTAGACCAATAAGGAACATCATCAAAAATAGAGAAAAGACTGAAGTTGTCAACAATTTCATTTTACTTAGATTTACAATCAATGCCCATGGAAGAAGGAGTTAAGAAACCAAATGACATTTTGCATTGGATGCTTGCAAAAGGCCTCTTTAAAGTGTAACAAAGCAAAGATGTCACATTGAGAACTAAGGTGCACTAACCCTAGCCTTGGCAATTTTTAATTGCCTCATGTGCATTTGAAAACTGGATGAATGAATGAAAAAGACTATAGAAGAATTTATGCATTTGAAGTATGGTAGAGCTGAAGAATACTGAATTATACCATGGACTACCAGAAGAATTCTGCTCCCGTAAAGATTTACAGCCTTGGAAACCCTGTACTGGGTCGCTATGGGTCAGAACTGACTTGACGGCACTTAACAACAACAACAACCAGAAGAATAAGCAAATTTGTCTTGAAAACAGTACATTAGAATGCTCCTTAGCAGTGAAGATGGAGACACTTCATCTCACATACTTTGGACATTATCAAGAGGGACTGGTCCCCTGTCTTATGAATCTTGGTTTCCCTTACCTACTATTGTAAAATAGAGACTTGAGGGGGATAGAAAGGAACATCCGGAAACATGATTATAGAACACTTGTAAGCCCGTCTTCAGTCTATAACTGATTAGAATACCTCAAAGGGGTGCTAGAACTTGCCCAGTGAAAAAGGCTTCTTGCGGAGCCTTTGTAGTGCATAAAACTTTAGGTGGGATCCTGATCCCCATCCAGGACCTTCTGAGATGGGAAATTCCCCCTTGAAAAGACAAAGCAGACCAGCCTGGAGCAGCTAGAGGAATAGAAGCTACTTCTTGTAAGAAAGACAAGCAGGAAAAATCAAAAACAAAAACGGCAGTCTGATTGGCTACCACAAGAACAAACAAGTTGTTCACTGGGGAGCCATCAAGGCAAGCAATCCTTTCAGGACAAACCCTCTTCCAAGACTGAAACTCAAAGGGAATATACAAACAGGCATGTAAGCTTGCTGGTGACCACGTTGGTCTACTGGTGAGTGGAAGTGTGGGAAAGGCAGCAATGAAGATGTGGGCTGTCTGACCACGTTACATAGACTTCCATCTACCTGGAATAAAGTGTGGGGACTCCTTGAACCCATGAACAAGGACATAGCCACAGAGGGCTAAAGTTGAGAGTGAAGTGTCCAGCTGATATGAAGTGAGGGGAGATGCACAAGAATGCCCAAATTTGCAGATAGTACCCATCTGACCTAGTTTCAATGACTGGATGATCAGAACTCATCTAGAGGAAAATTTTTTTTAAAAAAATTTTTTTCTAAAGAAAGCAAGTGTAAATTGCTACGATTTGATGAACTTGACCTATACATATGGATGTAGTAGCTTAAAATACCAACCAAGAGGGAAGGAATCTTCATAGCCAGGATCATTCCCATCCCCTCTGTATACAGGGTTGATAGGGATGGGCAACTTAAGACACTGGCTACATAAAATACAGTCACGAAGTAACTGGCTTATAAGTTTCAAGAGGGAGTTTAGTTTCAGAGTGTGCAGGGGAAGGTAAAATCCCACTGAGTGATTTTCATCTGTCTAAGACAGGTCTGGTGAAAGGAGATGAGGTTAAGACTCTTATGATTCAATAGTGAGTAATTGTTATCATGATTAATTGCAATTGTCGCAACTTGTAAAGGTAAAAGTTTTGTAGCAAAATGGGGGAAGTGGTTGATCTTACAGTCTAGAAACAGAGGACCCTGGGACCATCAAGGAAGAAGAGCAGGAGCAAAGTGTGGGTCCGTATCCAGAGAAGCAGCAATGCCAGAGATGAAGGCAAAGATGATGACATGGAGAGATAGAGCAGCTGAGGACTCTAGACTTATGGAGGGTGAAGGGCTGGGTGCCAGCAGCCAGGGGACAGGCTTGCAGGATGTGCCCTTTAGTTATTTGAATGATTGTATTTTCCCAAGTGTTTTGGTGTACATTAAAAAAAAACAGAGGGTATAGAAGCAAATACTGTTGAATGATGATGCATGGAGGGGATTGTAATAATTGCAATGAAACGAAATACAATAGGATGAGTGTACAACTGATGTTTTCCCATGTAAGTTATCACTCAATTCATAATAAAAACCTTTTTTTAAAAAAAAAAGAGGGACTGGTCCCTGAAGAAGGACATCATGCTTGGTAAAGTCAGTGACAAAAAGGAAGACCCTTAAAGAGAAGGCTTGCACAAAGAGATGGTGGCTGAAGCACCGAGTTCAAACCTAGCAACAATTGTGAGGCTAGCACCAGACCAGGCAGTGTTTTTGTTCGGTTTAACTAAGTCACTGAGTTGGAACATTGGTGTTGTTACATGCCATCGAGTCAGTTCTGACTCATAGCAACCCTCTATAGGGTTTCCAGGGAGCAGCTGGTGAGTTTGAACTGCCAACCCTTGCAGTCCAGGACATTAACCCACAGCGCCACACCGCGACTCTAATAACAACATATATAATACAAATTTGAAAGACTAGACACCATACCTAACCAATATTTGGAGGATGGGATTATTATTGTAGAGAACTTTCACGTTCTATAACTTTTGTTTTGTAATTGTCATAGTAGTTTTATCACTACAATGTGTCATTAATTAATGCTCTAAAGGACATATTAGGTGCAATATAATAGAAAACAAAAATGAGTGACTTTAGCATTTCATTCAACTGTAGCTGTTAGATTCCACTGGCTAAGACTGAAGACCGTTCAAAAATGGTTGTAACAGTTAAGTAAGTAAAAGCCTGAAGTCAGGCTATTACTTCCTAGTTGTGTGGCCTTGGATAAATTATTTTCCTCTCCAAGTCTCAGTTTTCACACCTTTAAAATGGGAACAGTAATGTTAATACAGGCACACCTCATTTTATTGTGCTATGCAGATAGCACTTGTTTTAAAAACAAACTGAAGGTTTGTGGCAACTGCACATTATAGCACGTGTTCACTTGGGGGTCTCTGTGATGTTTTAGTAATTCTTACAATATTTCAAACGTTTTCATAATGCTCTTGCACACTTATGGACAGCAGTATAGTGTAAGCATAATTTTTATAGGCACTGAGAAAACAGAAGAATCATGTAGCTTGCTCTAGGAGCATTGCAATATTGCCTTTATTGTGGTGGTCTGAAACCAAACCGGCAGTACCTTTGAGGTGTGCCTGTACTTTATCCATAGGGCTGTTGTGAAATAGAAGGAAACTCCAAGAAATGGCATAGAGCAGTCCCTCACATAGTAACCACACAACTCATGCTCACACTTAGGGGATGGATGATGACGGCAATCATAATGATGATACCGAGGTTTTTTTAAGATTTTAAACTGTGAAACCATACAAGACCTGTTACTAGACCTCTGATCTGCAACCACTTTTACTTCAAGCCCCTTTACTTTTTCCTAGAATACAACCAAAATCCTAAACTGTCTTAATTTTCATTTTGGCAGGTTGTGAAGACTTTATTAGCTTTGTGTTTGAATTTGGAAAGAGTTTATGTTCTATGCACCTGACTGAGGATGAAATTGCATTATTTTCTGCATTTGTACTGATGTCAGCAGGTGAGATAACCAAATAAAAATGAAGTGATTCCAAAATTATCCAGGTAAAGAATTTTTCACAAGGCGCACAACTTCTAAGGACTGTAGAATATTTATGACTACTTGAAGAGAATGCCACCCTTCCTAAATATAATTTTGGTTTTCAAGTAACGTTCACCTGCCACACATATGTACTCACACACATATACCCTATTAAGATGTCATGCCTTTTCGATAACATGTAAGAAATGAGAATTTAATACAACCTAGTCTAGAATTAATCTTCTGAAATGCATAGTAGGGTAGGGCTGTCTCTCGTGACAACAGTACCCAAGATAAGATGTGGCTTGTAAGACATCTTGTTCTTTTCCAAAACCCATTTGAATGTCATCCACACGTTTATGTTAATTTAATCTGTGTTTTCAACCAGTACTGTCTCTTTTGGATAATCCATTTTACAAATTTACCATCTTCTATTTGGAATTTTTACAAACAAAAACATTATCCTGCATTAACCAGCTTTAAGTCATTTGAAATTCTACTGACATTTTTAATTGACTTGGATTATAAGGTAATTTTCTTATTTTCCAGAAAAGTTAACAGGAATAATATGAGTATTTCATTGAGAAATATAATCATTAGGATTGCTTGAGGAGCCAGGTGGTTTCATTTGCACACATACAGGTTTGACCTTAAATTTAAATGGCTTTCCTTTTGAAAGGGGAAGGTCGTTCCTTCCTTTAAGCATCAGTGAAAATAGAGAGGCTTACCATCCTGTTTTATAGCTGCCATAGATCAGTTTTCCACTCCTGTACAAACTGGCCAGTTAGTCTCTAAAATAGGCATTGTGGTATAATAATCTGTGTCAAAGAGTCAAAGGGAATGAGGTGTTCCAACACCATGTTGGAGGAATACTAAGTAGTATTATTTTTCATGTTTAGATCGCTCATGGCTGCAGGAAAAGGTGAAAATTGAAAAACTCCAACAAAAAATTCAGCTAGCTCTTCAACACGTCCTACAGAAGAATCACCGAGAGGATGGAATACTAACAAAGGTGAGAGGCAAAGGGTTTCCAGGTGGCATGGCCTGAAGCATCCCATGACACAGACCAGGCACCAGCTGTCCTTGTCAAATGAAGAGGTGATTCTTCTGACCAGCCTCCAAAAGTATCTATAAGCAATAGACCACCAGAAATGTCCATTTTGAAAAATACTATTGTTAGGCTAAAATCACTGTTCGAATTACATTTTATCCATTATCATACCTTGCAAAGTATCTGCAATAACAGGGCAATAGTTTTAAAAAAGAAAGAAAGGAAACACACACAGAAAACCACTTTTCATTCTTAGTACATTCTGGAATTCCTACTCCTAGTCCATCAAAGCTGGAGATACAGTACAGTTAATATTCTATACTGATTGAGAAGGAATCTTTGCATTTAGAAGGATGGCTAGGAGTATTAACCAACTCTATACTTAAATATCATTAGCTTTATTTCCATTAAAGGCATTAGTCATCAAATTAAACAATACACTGTTAAACTACCAATGGGTCAAGGAAGAAAATCACAGATTTCTTAAGAGTCAAATAGAATGAAAGCATAGCATACCAAAATGTATGGGTAGCAGTCAGGGTAGGCAGACTTATAGCAGTAAATGCCTATGTAAAAAAGAAGGGAGATCTCAAAATAAGAGCCGACCTTAATAACTTCAGGAACCAGAGAGAGAAAAGCAAACTAAGTCTAAACTACCAGAAGAAAGGAAATAACAAAGATCAGAGCAGAAATAAATAAAATTGAAAACAGAAGAGCAACAGAATCAATAAAGCAAAAAATTGGTTCTCTGAAAAGATCTATAAAATTGGCAAGCCTTTTGATAAAATTAGGCTGACGAAGAAAATAAAGCATACACATAACTGAAATAAAAAAATGAAAGCAGAAACCTTACAAATGACTTGATAGAAATAAAGAGAATTATGAATAACTGTATAGTAACAAACGGATAACCTAGATGAAATAGATAAATTCTTAGACGCACACAATCTACCCAAATTGACTGGAAAGGAAACAGAATGTCTCAACAGACTCATCACAAGTGAACAGATCAATCAGTGACCAAACCTTCTCCCCCACCCCCAAATATTCCTGGTTCAGATGGCTTCACTGAGGACTTCTACCAAAACATTTCTAGAAGAATTAATACCAAATACTTTTTAAACCCTTTTGAAAGATAGAGAAGGAAGGAATACTCCCTAATTCATTGTGAAGCAACAGAACCCTGATACTCCAACCAGATAAAGACAACACAAGGAAAGAAAACTGCAAGCCAGTGTCTCTTATGTATGTAAATGCAAAAAATCCCCAACAAAATACTAGTAAACAGAACCTACGAGCATATGTTAAAAAAAAAAAAAAAAAAAAAAAAAAACTGATACACCATGACCAAATGGAATTTAATCCAAGACTGCAGAAATGGTTCAACAAATGCAAATCAATCAAAGTTACATACCACACATCAGTACGACAAAGGAAAAGAAACACATGATCATCTGTATGGATGCAGAAATAACTGATAAAATTCAATACCCTCTCTTGATGAAAACACTAAAAAAAATTAGAAGAGAAGGGAAATTCTTCAATGTGATCCAGGGCATACATGATAATCCAACATCCAACATTCTACTAAATGGAGAAAGACTGAGCGCCCATGAAACTGCAAAAAAGACAAGGGTGCCTGCTCCTATCACTTCAGTTCAATATTGTATTAGATGGTGGTGGTGGTGGTGGTGATGGGCCGTGCAGTGGGTTCCAACTCAGTGACCCTGTATAGGGTTTCCGAGGTTGTAAATCTTTACAGGAGCAGAAAGCCTCATCTTTCTCCCACGGAATCGCCGGTAGTTTCAAACTGCTGACCTTGAAGTTAGCAGCCTGACTCGTAACCACTACACTAGAAGACCTAGCTAAAGTAACAAAACTAACAAAACTAGAAGGTTATCCACATTGGAGAAGAAGTCAAATTATTTCTATTCATAGATGATATGATCTTATATATAAAAAATCCCTACAGAAAACTTCTAGAGCTAATAGAGGAAATTCGCAAAGTTGCTAGGTATGAGGTCAACAACAAAAATCTTACTGGATTTCTATACACCAGCAATGAGAAATCTGAAAAGTAAACTGGGGAAACAATTCCATTTACAGTAGCATCTAAGAGAATAAAATTGTCAGGAATGAATCTAACCAGGGATGTGAAGGATTTATGTAATGAAAACTAACACAATGCTGAAAGAGATTAAAGAAGACAAGTAAATGGAAAGATATTTCATATTCATGGGTTACAAGACTTAATATTATTCAAATGTCAATACGACCCAGGAATCTAGAGACACAATGCAACCCCAATAAAAATGTCAACAGCCTTCTCTACAGAAGTGGAAAAGTCAATCCTGAACTTTATATGGAATGACAAGAGGCTCTGAATTCCTAAATTAATGTATAAGAAGAAGAACAGAGTAGGAGGACTCACAGTTCCTGATTTTAAAACATACTACAAATTAAGAAAGGTGTGCGACAGGGTTGTATTCTTTCACCATACTTATTCAACCTGTATGCTGAGCAAATAATCTGAGAATATGGATTATATGAAGAAAAACACGGCATCAGAAAATGAGGAAGACTCATTAACAACCTGCGATATGCAGATGATACAACCTTGCTTGCTGAAAGTGAAGAGGACTTAAAACATTTACTGATGAAGATCAAAGAGCACAGCCTTCAGTATGGATTGCATCTCAATGTAAAGAAAACAAAAATCCTTACCACTGGACCAATAAACAACATTCTTATCAACAGAGAAAAGATTGAAGTTGTCAAGGACTTCATTCTTCTTCGATCAACTATCAACACTCATGGAAGCAGCACTCAAGAAATCAAACGACATATTGCATTAGGCAAATCTGCTGCACAACTCCTTTTTAAAGTGACAAAGAGCAAAGATGTGAGCTTGAGGACTAAGGTGAGCCTGACCCAAGTCATGGTATTTTCAGTAACCTCATATGCATGCAAAAGCTGGACAGTGAATAAAGAAGACCAGAGAAGAATTGATGCTTTTGAGTTATGGTGTTGGAGGAGGATATTGAATGTGCCATGGGCTGCCAAAAGAACCAACAGATCTGTGTTGGAAGAACTGCAGCCAGAGTGCTCCTTGAAGGCCAAGATGGCCAAACTTCATCTCTCATACTTAAGACATATGGTCAGAAGGTACCCGTCACTGGAGAAAAGGATATCATGTTTGGTAGGGCAGAGGGTCACAGAAAAAGAGGAAGACCCCCAGAGAGATGAACTGGTAAAGTGGCAGTATCGATGGGCTCAAGTGTGGCAACAAAGGTGAGGTTGGCCCAGGATTGGGCAGTGTTTTATTCTACTGTACATAAGGTCACTGAGTTGGTACCAACTCAGTGGCACCTAACAACAATAACAGGAGTCCTGGTGTGGTGCTGTGGGCTAATGCATCAGACTGTAAAGTCGTTTAAACTGCAAGGCCGGCAGTTCAGGTTCACCAGCCGCTCCTTGGAAACCCTATACAGGGTTGCTATCAGTTGCATTCGACCCAGTGGCACTTCAAAACAACAACAACATAGACTTGGTGTGGCTCTGAAGGATAAGCACTGAACTGTTATTCACAAATCAGCAGTTCAAACCCACCAACAACTACTTGGAAACCCTATACATGGTCTCTATGAGTCAGAACTAACTCAGTGGCACTTAAAACAATGTACAACTACAGTATTAAAAACAGCTTGGGATTATTAAAACAATAGGCACGTAGTCCAATGGAATCAAATCAAAAGTCCAGAAATAAATCAAGTGTCCACACATCTATGGTCACCTGATTTTTTTCCAAGGGTGTTAAGTGCATTAAATGGGGAAAGACAAGACTATCCAATAAACGGAGGTGGATAATCCACATGCAGAAAAATGGAACAGGATCCATGACTCACACCATGCACAGAAACAAATTCAAAATGGATTAGGGACCTACTCGTATAAACTAAAACCATCAAATTCTTAGAAAAACAAGTACTATATTAGCTATATCTAATATAACAAAGGCACCAATGGCAGAGGCAAAACAAATAAATGGGACTTCATACAAATTAAAAACTTGGTTCATCAAAAAATTTTACCAAAAAAGTGTAATGACAAGCTACCAACTGGGAGAATATTTTTGGAAACCATACATCTAATAAAATAATCCAATAACCAAGATATATATAAAATCTTGACAGCTTAACACTCAAAAGACAACCCAATCATAAAATGGTCAAAGGATTTGAATAGATATTTTACCAAAGAGGACATTCAGATGGCCACCAAACTCATGAAAAGATGATCACTATCACAAGCTATCCAAGAGATCCAATCAAAACCAGTGAGACACCATTTCACTGTCACTAAGATGGTTAAGATAGAGACAAACAGAAACAACAAATGTTGGTGAGGATGTAGGGAAACTGGAATCCTTATCCAAAGCAAAATGGTACAGCCATTGTGGAAATAGTACTCCTCCAAAACAAACACGTTCCTCAAAAGACTAAAGATAGAAGTACCATGTGACCCAGTAATTCCACTCCTAAATATATGCTTAAAAGACTTGAAAGTGGAGACTCAAAAAGATTCATACACCATTGTTCACTACAGCACTCTTCACAATAGCTAAAAGGTGGAAACAACCTAAATGTCCGTCAACAGAGGAACAAATAAATAAACTGTAGTATAGTATAATGGAATAATACTCAGCAAAAAGGGAAAGTGAAGTCCTGATCTGTGCTACAGTATGGCTGGAGCTTGAAAACATCATGCAGAGTGAAATAAATCAATCACAAAAGTATTAGATGACCTCACTCATAAAAAGACAAAAATAGTCATTAGTAATCAACAATAAATGACTTGTATTTTCGTCTTCAGCTTCAAAGCATAGGGTTTTATTTTTGCTAATTATCATCCTTTACAATAAAAATAGAATTGGGATGTTAATTTCATTTTAAATATGCTCATATCCTCCCGTGGTAGTGCTAATGGTGTATTTGGTCTTAGAAAAATTAGCTCTTTTCATTCTTAGATTATTCTGTTTTATTGTTCAAAGGATTTTTCTTTGTTTTTTGTTTGTTTATTCTGTTTTATTTTCTCCTGGTAACAGGGTTAGGATCAAGGACAGATAGGGGAAATATGTGTATATAATTCAATCAGAAATAGGGGAAAGAATGGGAACTGGATGGGAAAAGAACCATTAGGAGCTTCACTCCTCTCTTCCTCACCCCAATACAAGTGTTGTTTGTTGTTGTTGTTGTTGTGTGCCATCCAGTCATTTCCAACTCATAGAACAGCCCCTCCTAAACTTCATAGGATGTCAGCTTTAGGGAGCAGATTGCCAAGTCTTCCCTCTTTCCTGCAGAGCGTGCTAGTGGGTTGGAACTACCAACTTTTCAGTTTATAGTGCAGTAAGCTCCTTACACGTAACCATTAGGCTATTTTTATTTTGGGGAGTCCTTAACCATGGATAAGATCTGGTGAAAACATACAGGGTCTCTATGAGTTGGAACCAGCTCAGTGGTTCACAATAACTACAGGACTTCTATATGCAACCTATAAGGGATGCTGTCACATCGAGTCTCTTGCCCTGTCCTACTCATGACTGCCAATGTGCCCTCTTCTCTTTCACCTAATTGCTTCTTTTCCCAACGTGGTAAAGGGCAGGAAGGAAAATATGGTAGAGCTGGAAGCATGCTGGAATAGGAGGAGGTGGCAAGAGACCTGGGTTTTCATCTCAAGTCTGTTGGGAACAAGCTGTGCCAACTTTTGCTTATGAATATTCCTCTTCAAAATCATATTTAATATATATGTATGGTATTGTATGATATAACTGCATCTGTTTTTTAAAACCAACTTAAATAATTGATACTTAAGTTGACTTCACATGTTTCACTGTCATAAGCAGCATTGTAAAAACCACTCAGATTCCTCACTTCTTGATTCTCAAGTCTGTTTTTCTTGATCACATGCGTTCTCTTCCACTTACAGTTAATATGCAAGGTGTCGACCTTAAGAGCCTTATGTGGACGGCATACGGAAAAGCTAATGGCATTTAAAGCAATATACCCAGACATTGTGCGACTTCACTTTCCTCCATTATACAAGGAATTGTTCACTTCAGAATTTGAGCCAGCGATGCAAATTGATGGGTAAATGTATCACCTAAGCACTTCTAGAATGTCTGAAGTACAAATTTGAAATACAAACAAAACAAACAAAAATTAACCAAGACACTTTATATGGCCCTGCACAGACCTGGAGCGCCAACACACTGCACATCTTTTGGTGATCGGGGTCAGGCAAAGGAGGGAAACAATGAAAACAAATAAAAGTTGAACTTGTTTTTCTCATGCATATGATTTCCATTATGCCTACAGATATGGACCCTTTTTCTGTCTCAACTTTTTGATCGTTGACCTCTGTTTACACAGAAGGAGGGTACTAAAAGTTGGAGGATTTCCTTTTCTTGTAGCTCACTGCCCACAGACCTTCTACAGCAATCACTAATCTGTCAGTAACTACAGAGAGTCCGGCAGTAATCGGTGGCTGGTGTGCATAGCGGAGGGTGCGGCATTACTTTGCACAACTTGCTCTTTGTTTCATGAAGGAAGTTTTTTGTTTTTGTTTTTTGTTTTTGTTTTTTCACCGATTATTGCCAGTTGGCAGAACGGCATGAAAAGGGCCCATAGCACTAGCAACAATAGCATTATAATATATTACAGGGTAAATGGGCATGAAGACTATATATAGCTAAAAGAGATATTGTTTATATATTGTTTTAATTAATATAAAATGTAGTTACTGGTGTAGCTTTTCCTGTTGAATTGATAAGGCACTTTCATTTTGCACCTTTTTCTTTAAATTAAATACTAGCGTGTTCACTGTCGTGTCAACGCATGTGCACCAGAAACACAAGTTTAACTGAGAAGGCTTGGAAGGTACGTCGGGAGGTATTTATGCTGCTGTTTACAAATTTACTTTTAAAAGACTGGCTGGTCATATCTAGAAATCGCGATGTTGAGTTTCTTTCTTTTTTGGTTTAACACGCGACTTTGGAATTAGAAATGGAACTCTCCCTAAATTATACTTTGCTTTTTGTAAGTTTCAGGGTAGATGTGTTTCTGCTTCATACAAAGCTGAATGTTCAGTAAGTGCTGTGGACTTATGCTATAATGGACATTTTAAAAATGTCTCCACAAGGAGGCTGGAGAGGGAAGACTCATTTTACACAATTCAGTAGTTAAAAGACTCAGTTTCAACTTGGAATTCTTAACACTATGAGACCCACTCACTGATCAGACTATTCATTGGATTCTAGCTTTTATTTTAAGAAGGACCCAAAGATTTTATCTGGAGTAAATGCACACCCCAGTTACGAGGACATGAAGCATATACTTTATGAGCGTTTATGTTTAAGAATTTATCCCAGAGTGAACTAATTGTAGATTAGCTCCCTCCACATATTACAGTTCTAGAATCCTGATTTCCATATTGTCTAGACAATGGCTAGGAGGCTGAGGGAGGCATACAATGTTGAATCAGTTGTTCTTATTTAAATAGTAAATATTTTAAGCCTTTAAAGTGAAGTTGATGCTAGCTTCAAACATTTACTCTTATATTTATCTTCACTAGAAAACTGTGGACTGTAATTTATTTTATTAAATATATAGGAGGTTGTTTTGGCTTTTGTGTTCAGGTGAGACATGTTTAATTTAGTTTAGTTCTTAATAAACCCTAACTGGGGCAGGGAGGGAAACAGTCCAATATATGCACAAGTGTGCATGTTTTAGAAATAGGGTACCCTTTTGGGAACCCAGGCATTTACAGTACAATATTAGCCCTGCAATATGTTTTTAATTCCACTGACTTTCCGACTTGTTTCCAGAGGGACTAGACAAGGGGACAGGATTATTTACACAGAAGTTTGTATGAAGCCTAAATAACATCTCAAAAATGTTTTCCAAAAATATAAGTGTTTAACCATAAATAGAACATGAGAGTAATATTTACTTAAATTTCTCATGGATATATAAAACTTTGTGTGTATAGAGAGAGGCTAAGTATCAGCTTATAGTATTTATATCTGGGCAAGAACTAGTTAAATCAAAAAATTTTAAATATAAATAAGCATAGTTCCTTTAAAGATCAATAGTATTTATACTCTAAAAAGAGTTCTAAGCTTAGTTCAGTTATTTATTTTTCCATTTTATTCAATTCTTTGTCCTTTGTCGGGGAAACGGTGTTTGGTTTAGGGGGAATTTTGTTTTATATTTGGTCATTCCAATTCACAAATTTGGGGATGGTTTTATTAAGGTACATTAACTTCTTTTTAACCAAAGCTTTCTGAATATGACCAGCCTCAGGTGCTAGCGCATTGAAAAGCAACTAACCTTAATTCCAGTGTTCACTGTAAGATGGTCAGAGCTAATTGAACTTCTCTAAGGGTGAGAAAGCACGTAATGTTGAACTTAAAAGAAATTCCTTTTCCAGAAAGGATTTTCCATGTACCTAGTGAAAAAAAAAAAAAAAAAAAAAGCTCTAATGTCAGTAATTGTCACTTTCCTGTGACATTGTTCTTAATGGTTAACCAAGATACAGTAATGTGATGCCACAACTTGGTCTCTCTAAGAGTAGAGCAGTGTGTATATCTAAGAGCAACGTACATCACCAGTGTAGGAGCACAATGAGAGAGACATGCTTGGTGAATTTAGGGAACAATTAACTGTTACTTAGATCTAAGTTAGGATCTGAAGCTAAACAATAAATTCAGTTGGGGGAAAAAAAAAGGAGTCCAGGAAAGGATATGGAAAACTTTGTAATTTTTCTTCGTTATTCTAGAAACACCTGTGTGAGACACAAAATATTTGGTGGTACCAGGACAGTTATTACTAGTTCTTATAAGTAAAGTTTCCTAAATGTCCATGTCCAATAGTCTTTTAAGAATCAGAACCATATCATTTCATCTTGGCTGCTATTATTCATTTTATACTTTTTTTTTTTTTTTTTTTTTTTTAACATCGGGTACATAAGGCTTTGGTAGAAAGCCTGAATAACTTCTGTTACAATGGTGGCCAAACAGTTGTTGTGAAAAAATTGGCCTTGGTCACAATGAAAACAAAAGTGCAGATGAAAGTGCTTTTTGGACAGTTTATAAATTGCATTAAAGCTACAGATGGATTTTCTTTAAGTGTTCAGCATCCTAATTTGCGTTAAAGCTATGGATTTTTTTTTAAGTCTTTGACATCCTACCTTCACCCTTCCTAATGTAAGGAAAACGTGACTTAGGACACTGCTTCTACGTTTGGTTGTTCTTTGTAGTGTGGATACACAGATCGCTGTGAGCATATGGGGTGGGGTGGTGGGGTGAAGTGAGGAGCGAGCATGTGTGTGTATGTGAGTGTGTGCACGTACATACAATGTACGTGCGTCAGACTGCTTCTAGGCTACTAAGTGTCAATGGAAAAGAAAATGTATTCAAAATACTTAAATCAAAACTAAAAGATGGAGAAAAAAAAAAGATTTATTCTATACAAAGCCTTGTCTGGACCACTTTAGAGAGACTTCTATTTTTTTAACCCTTCTATAAATATTTGATGGCACTTGAAATATTCCTGCAATAAAATGTGATTTGTGTAAAGAAAAAAAAAAAAGATTTTGTAATGTGAAACAATGAAAGAAAGTAATGTAATTTTCTAAAAAAAAAAATACAAACAAACAAACTTTGTATTATTTTCTTGATGGAATTTGTCTATCTGTCTTTGGGAAACTTTTTATTTCATTGAATGTGCCATAGTAGAAGTCTGTGTTTTTAGTTGTAGACTAAGGAATAGATGTTTGTGTTCCGACATTCCAAACTGCAGAGCACCTAGTTAAGTCTTCACTGAAGAGGCGGAAGTAGTACATGAGCGCCTCTCATTGTCGCTTTTTTGCACATGTTCTTCATCCCTCTCTAGTGCAATATGTACATAGAGCACTTGCGGGTGTACCTTGATCCCTCAGGGAAAACAAATACATATTTGTACAGTTTTTGTTTTTGTTTTGTTTTTTGCCTTTTTGGTTTTGGCTAAGGAATGTCGACTGAAATCACTTGTTGTTGTTGAGGGGCAGCCAGATAATTATCCTAAAGCCACTGTTTCAAACATTGATTGTTTCAATCATATGTCCTGCCAGTGCTATTACTTTTAAATAATGATAATAAAAAGTTATTTTCTGACAGTTCTTTGTGCTGATTGGTGAAAAAAACAAAAACAAAAAAAGGGTAAATAAGCACCTTATGATTGACCTACTGTGAATGACAATCCATCTTGATACCAACAATGGAAGCCCGATCATTTTGGAGTTGGGGTTAAGAGTCAGAAACAATGTGCTCAGGGATCTTCTAAAACTCTTAAAACAGGGTGGCCAGTACTACTGGGACAAATTGTGTATTCTCTTATTAATAATAATGATGATGATAATATCCCTCCAAGGCACAAGTGAACTGTGTAGAACTGAGTGTGTGTGTATGTATATGTAAACTCTTCACTGTCTTCTCATGTTGAGTTTGAAATGTAATGTAGCTTCCAAAGGAGTACAAAGGTATGCCAGTATGTTCAAAAAATAAATTAATGTATAATGTACTGACAAAGAACATCGCTCAATATGCAGTCTTGCATATACCATTTGCCATTCTCTAATGATTGAAATATTCATGTTGAATATATTTAGAGTGTTATATATATCAAAAGCTATTTCAAATTCTACACACTATGGGTAAAAAGTTTTTTAAAACAAGGTATCAGGTGAGAGACCTGCCTATTGGTGCAGTGAGATAGGTAAAAGATGAAATACGTTTTTTAAATGCCAGCAAATACTATTGTTTTCATTATGTCCTCTTCTAGAACCAAACCCAAATATCCCTTTATGTAAAATATTTCTTCTACTTCTACTTTTGCAGTTTATATCTGTTAAGTTAATACAAGTCCTAGTGCTGAAAGAAAACAAACCTGGCCTATCTATGTAATAGCAACTTGAAACCAGCTTTCAGGATGACAATTTTCATTTTTGAAAAACAGTTCTCTTCTCGTTGCCCCATATATTATTTTTCATAATGTCAGTCAAATTGTTGGCTTTGATTCTTCCACTCCTGAAATAGTCACTAGAAATATTACACG